AAAGCTAAGAGACAATGAGAAAAAACTACTCAAGAATAATCTTGCAGGTCAGATTATTCAAGACAATCTAAATTTAGACCTAGAAATAATAGCTGACCGAAGAGAATGAGTAGTTGATTCAAGTGGGATACTGATTAAAAATCTAATTAAAACTGAAACCTTTACTAAGACTGCTAAGATTCTTAACGAACTTGATATATGGGTACTGGAGCAACTGTTAGATTCTGAAGGATTACATCTATCAACATGGCAACAGCTCAAAATCTCTAAAAAGAAGTTAAAGAAAGGTAAAAAGGCTTCCTGGTTCAAAGAAATTAAAGAAAAGGTACTAATTAATAACAAAAGTAGTGAAGTTAGAGATGAGTTCAAAACAGGTATGGAGAATAATCTAGGAATGCAGAATTTGTTTGAAGAAATCTCTCTAGACAAAAGAAAACGCGAATGGATTGTCTATGAAGATACATCTAGCAAAAGCAGAAAGATAGGAAGAGTACAAAAGAAAAAGGAAAGTAGTGTTCTTGTAGAGCATTGAGAAAACCAAGAAAATTCCGAAAGGCAAGAAGTAATAAGAAAATGCGAAGGCTATCTAAACAACAAAGAAAAAGCATACAAGGAGTGCAGAACCTGGCAACCCAAAAGAAAGATCCTAGGAGTAATTCCAAAAAACTGTGTGAACAGAGAAACAGAACTAGTAGATTTTGCACTAAAATCAATAGCTTCGAAACTAATGAATAGTCTCTTATAGGTTTAAAGGAAATTGAGAAGCGTGAACTTGAAATAATAGAAGTACAAAACTTTGAGATGAATTTAGCAGTAGCACTAAAAAAAGAAGCAAAAGAGATTAAGTTAAAAGGGAAGGAAGTAATAGATTTTTACACAGATAGATCTTTAGGCAAAAGAGAGGAAAGAGGAATTATGGGAGTAGGATGGGTAGGAATTGATCAAATAGAAGATAGTCTAATTAGTATAAGAAATTTAAAAGTTGTTAACTGGCCGATATCAACCAAGGCAGAGATAGTAGGAATTTGGTTATCTTTACTAGTAACGCAATGTGATACTACAGTTAGGGTTCTCACAGATAGCGAACAAGCAATAGACAGTATACTAAAAGCCTGCAAAACTGAGAAATATAGCAGATAGATTAGAATGGACAACAGAATAATCCTAGAAAAAATCACTTCACTTGTTAAGCAGAAAGGCATCAAACTAGAGCTCAAAAAAGTTAAAAGTTATGCTGATAACAAATAGAACAACAAAGCAGATCAACTGGCAAAAGAAGGCAGAAATTTATGCATGATTCTAAACCTTGACAAAGTCAAAAGTGAAAACTTTAGCTATGATATAGCATAGAAATCAAACAGAATTGAGTGCTCAGTTAAGCAGTTTGTCACTAAGCTATTAAAAAGCATCAACGACGCAGAATGAGCATATCAAAAAAAGGATGAGCAAAATGAAAGTTCAGAGTATAACTGGAAAAGGCTATGGCAAAGAATTAAAAAACAAAGAGGAATAAATTGCCTTTCAATGAAAGACAGTAGACATCTCATTTTACAGATCAAATGCTTAGTAAATTGCCTTCCAACACTTAGCGAACTCAAGAAATGAAAACTAGGTCTATACAAAAGTGACTTTTGTATCCTCTGCAAAAAAGAAACTCCTAAAAACTTCAACTATCGCTTAGATGTTCAGCTCTACAAGACTCTTGGAAACAAATAGAGGAAGTAGTAATAGAAGACATCAACAAGCTTTTAGTAGAGGAAAATGATAACCTAGCTATGATATCAAAAATCAAGGAAATTGTCTTTCTAAAAAACAAAGAAAGTCAATACCAAAGAAGAAAAGAGCTCGTAATCAGCTTGGAAGCAAAGAAAATAGCCGAAGATCTAAAGCTGCTAGCACAGGAAAAAAGTATCGTAAGAATCTGACTTGACAGTATCTTTTTTATAACTCAAAGAAGCTTTTTAGAAATCATATGGAATTGGTGATGTGAGAAAGTAATTCTTTGGGAAAAGAAAGAAGAGATTACAGCTAAGTCAAAAAAGAACAAAATGAAAGAAATAAAGTCAAAAGTGAGAACCCTAGCAAATAAAGAAAGAAAAAGGCTACTAGCAGAAAAGAGAAAAGAAAGAGGAAAAAAAAAGAATAGATAATAGCTTTAGTAGAAGATGTATTTAAAAAGGAAATTAAGGAGAGTGGTTCAAGTTGGTGGAGCTTTCTTTGAATTAGTTAGACCAATTGTTCTAGTCATTTGGCTAGTGCGACAGGTCGCACCTGAGCACTCTAGAAGTAGCTGAGTGAGGTCAAACTTAGAAATTAGGTAGATTTTTTTTAATCAAATGTAACTTGGCTATAGCTCTAGTTAACAACTTAATAAAGTTTATGACGTGACTGTCAAAGGAAAAAAAAAAAAAAATTTTAATACCTTTTTTTTAAATCATTTTTATATTTTACATTTAAAAAAATTTAAATTTTTTTGTATAAACATAAAACATAAAATGACTTAATAAATAATTAAAATTATACGAAATTTTCAGATTATATGCACATTGTTCTCCTGTATAACTTTACTTAAGACGAAATTATCGATTAGCTTAGTAAATTTTTGATTTTTATATGTAGCAACGATTATCGATAGTGAAATAATATGGTTTAAATATCTGACCAATAAAATTACTTCATATGTAAATGACCTAAATGACCTAATGACCTAATAACCCAAATGTCCTAGTCATTATTTGATGACTAGAGGTCATTTAAATTTTGATCAAATGACCAGGTCATTTACCATCCCTGCTTGGACATGCTTTTTTATATAACAAAAAAAATCATTGTATAAAAATTTTGGAGGCATGTCTATGAGGCATGCCCTTAAATCTAAAAAACTAGAGGCATGCCTCCTGGGCATGCCCAAAAATTTTGCTGTGCCCCTCACCCTACCTCAACCCCGGCCCAAGAAATTTTCATCGACCCGTATCAATACTCCGTACTCTACATTATCATTGTACATTCGAAATATTCCATCACTTCGACATCCCGTTTTTGCTCTTTGTTTTCTGGTTTGCTTCATTTCATTATTTTTTCTTATAGCAACAGCTATACTCGCTGAATTTTTTCTGCAAATACCAAATATATTGTCAGGACTCAAATAGTTGCGATTACTAAATTTTATGTACCTAACAGTTTGTAGTACTACTGAAAGAATGAATGGCCACAAGGGAACTGAGACACGGTCCCTACTCCTACGGCACAACCTCTAAATGCTCCTTTTTGAGTTCTTCTTTTGGATTTTCATAATATAATAAGCTATTTTAAAGTATATACATCCATTTATAAAAATCTCAATAATATTAAAGAATAATCATAAGAAAAACTTACAAGTGCTTCATCACAACTCTACCCGTTCAGAATCAAAGTCCTTATCTCGATTAAAAGGTTCATTTTTGTCACGATATGAAGTTGTCTCGATCACCTTCCTCAGATCAGTAATGGTTCTAACCTAAATTTATTTATTAGTACTTCTAATTTATGTCTATTACCTTTTAGGCCATTAATGTTATGTGCTGCTATTTTAATACTTTTCCTAGTCTCTATTGCACTTTCGTCTCTCTTATCTGTCTTATCGATTGCTCTAATTTGGTTTTTATTTCGCTTTGCCTTATTTTGTCATACAAGTTTTCCTTCTTGTACGAGTAAGGCTCTCTTTGATTCAACTAGTATGTAAGTTAGGAGCGATTTGGGCTTTTTATACCCAAGTCACTAAGCTTTTCTTCTAGGTTTTGAACTAAGAAGGCTATATATTTTAGAGACATGTTGTTATTTCTGTTTCTCTGATTACTTTGCATATTCAGTTTTTCTCTTTTGTTATCTTTACATCCTTTTTGCGAGCTATTTTCTTTTCCTATTCTACATTTTCCTCTATTACTATCTCTAGATACTGCCATTGAGTTACTATATGTATCATAGCTATCTCTATATGATCTAATTGCTATACTACTTTCTGTCTCTAGCTGATGATTATTTTCTCTTCATACTCTGTCTTGTACAAATTTTGAATATTCGCCTTCTTGTTTCTGTTCAGTTTCTTTTCTTTTTCCTAAGCTTTTTGTACTCCTTTTTTGTTGTATTTTAGTTTCTTTGTATTCTTTAAATTTCATATTTCTGGCTGCTTCGTCTTCTTGTTCTTTTGTCTTAGCCTATCTTAGTTTGTTATTGTAGTAGTATATTGAGAAACTAGAGATATTGAACATATCATCTTGCTTGTCAAAATATACTGTCACACTTCCCATGTTGTTATTGTTCGAATTTTTGAAGATGTGTAATGCCCTAGCTCCTGATTTTTTAACTTGTCTCCATAGTAATATCTCGTTGATATTTTCAGATAAGTCAAGTAGTCTTTTGCTAAATCTGTTTCTCAACTGAAGTAATTCATAATTATTAGTACCTACTATTATTCTTACCAGTACTTGGTTCATAAAAGGTAAATATCAAATCTCGTTCAGTTTTCTTCCTTTAACTATGCCTCTTTCAAAGTTAACTTCTGCTCTTGTTTTATCATGTGCACTCTTAATCATCTCTATATGCTCCACTCTTCTCAAGAATCGAACTGTCTCAAAAACTTGTATTCTTTTTGCTCAACTTGGTAGGTCCCAAACATTTTTATTACTGCTTGCTCTCAAGGTATCGTTCAAAACTCATAAATTTTTATATCATCAAAATAAGGTCTTTAATTTTTATACTTTATATTTACAGGTGCGATATCCAGATAGAATAACATTAATACGTGGTAATCACGAATCTCGACAAATTACACAAGTTTACGGATTTTACGATGAATGCCTTCGAAAATATGGTTCAGTAAATGTGTGGAGACATTGCTGTGAAATATTTGATTACATGAGTTTATCTGCAATTATTGAAAATAAAATATTCTGTGTGCATGGTGGACTATCACCTTCAATTGGTTCGTTGGATCAGGTAATATATACATGAAATAGTTATAATGATGTTCTTCTCGTCTTTATTCAAACTCTTTAATTTTTGATTCTTTATAGATTCGTACGATTGATAGAAAGCAGGAAGTTCCACATGATGGTGCTATGTGCGATCTATTATGGTCTGATCCAGATGGTAATTTATTAATACAATATTGACTATATTGACTATATTGATTATATTGATCAAATTTCTTATTAAATCAATACTCATTAATGATTTATTTGAAACTCTAGACATTGAAGGATGGGGACTTAGTCCTCGTGGTGCAGGGTACTTATTTGGTGGTGATATTGTTGCTCAAGTAAGGGTTTTATTATAATTTATCTTTTTATAATATTATCTATTAAAAAAAAAAAAAAAATCTTTCATATGAAATTCTTAGTTTTTACAAAACAACAACCTAGATTTAATTGCCAGAGCCCATCAATTGGTAATGGAAGGCTATAAATTGATGTTTAATAACACTATAGTCACCGTTTGGTCTGCTCCAAATTATTGTTATAGGCAAGTTATGCACATTAGTTCTGATATTTGCTTTCATTTTATAATGATCGTTGTTAAAAATTTAATTTACTTTTTTTTTTTTTTTTTTTTTTTTTAAAAAAAAAAAAAGATGTGGAAATGTCGCTGCAATTTTAGAGTTAGACGATAAATTAAACAAAAATTACAAGATATTTGAGGCTGCACCACAAGTTAGTGAATAATTTAATTTTGAATTTATAATATGCATTGCACCAATTATTTAATATTATTTTGATTTTCATTTTTTGAACATAGGAAGTTCGTGGTTTACCAGCAAAAAAACCTGCACCTGATTATTTCCTGTAGATTATCGATATTAATTGCTCAAAAGCTTAGGATATTTAAATTATTAGAGTTAACAGATACGCGTATCATGGACAATATACGCCTCACTACTATATTTTTATATTTACAAATGTTTAAGATGCTAATTAAAAATAATGCTTTAATCTTTAATGAATAAAAATTAAATAAATAATAAATAAAAATTATAAGTTGATCTTATTATATATTTTATGTGGTTTACAGTTTTAAAGTTTAGATTTTGATTTATTAGAACTTAGTGCTCCTAAAGAGTCATTCGGGTCGGGTTTGGGGTTGAGCCCGTATTTGTTCGAACAAACTCGGGTTTTTAAATTTGTTAGAATTAATTTATACAAAATTTATATAACGTTAATGCTAAGACTAGATTTTAATCTTTTATTATTTTTATTTATATAACACTAATAGAAAGACGATATCTCAATACTATTATTTGCAATTTAATTATTTCTATTTTCTGTATATAATGCTAATACTAAGACTTTGCAACTTAATTATTGCTATTTTAAAAGTATTTCATAATTACATTAATATGAAATTTTAAAGTTTAATAATGCTTTATGTCCACCAGGATTTTAGACACATACATGCACGAATAGAGTCTGCACTAAGACCGCATCTCTTAACAGAAATTAAATCAGTTCCTTCGGAAAATACTCGCTCTACTGGGATGCTAGTGGCAGTAATCGCAAGATAATTTCTAGCCATTCTAGCCAAATTGGGATATTTAGCTTCGTGCACTTCTCACTATTGAAGAATATCTTGTTTTCTCATTGCCTGAGGAGCTTCTAGATATAACTCAACTTCATTTTGTTGATTAATTCTTTGTTTTTTTCTATAAATATAATCTAAAAGCAAATCATCATCATTATTCATATTATCTTGATCATAATAGGTAGTTTCATAGGAAGATAATTCATAATTATTTTTATAGATTTGAAGAATAGTTGCTTTAATGCTATTGATAAAATCTTTGCTCTAATTATTTTCTTTATAATAATCCAATTTTAGTCTTGGATCAAGAACAGTTGCGATAATATAAATAGTCATATTGTTTGTTCTTGAATAATATGATTCTAACTTTATCAATTCTGCATTTACTGCAGTGATTATTTCATGAGAATAATTAGGATTATTGTGATATTTTGTGAGTTCATTGATCAAATAATTATATATTGGTATAATTGAAGCAAGCATTGGATATTTTGCTGATTCAATCATTTTGGTTGTTCATACAAATATTTCTAAAATAATTACAACCTTTCTAATTTTATTCCATTCATGAATATCAAGTTGTAATGATTGAAGATCCTTATCTAAATGTATAATTGCATCGATTGTATCATGCATTATTAGTGCTTGTACAAGTATTTCATAAGTTGAGTTCTACCTAGTTTTAATATCTAATATAAGATTACAATTCTCAAGACTAGCAGCTTTAACTTGACGCATAAATTGTTCATAATGCTGTAGTGATGATCTAATTTTAACTACAAGTTTTCAAAGTTTTGGAATTATATTTTCAGCTATTATGGGTATGTTTATATTATCAAAAATAGCATTTTCAGTTTGTGCTTTGCTAGCCTTGAATTGTTTAAGAATATCTTATATGACCAGGTTTATGATATGAGTAATATACTTACAATGAGATTTAATAGTATTAAAAGCAATATTCTCATTATAACATATATTTTCTAGTTGTTGTATAAAAATATCATTGTTCGTAACATCATCATTTGTAATTATAAAAATTTTTGGTAAAATTCCAAATTCACAATAGCTACTAACAAATGCATTGCACAAGTTCTCTTCTGAATAAGAACTATGAAGATTAATAAAATCCAATAAAATACTTTGAAGCTTTTAGTCTTTAGAAATCTAATACACTGTGATAGTGAAAAAAGAATAAATATTTGCTAATGTCCATACATCAATAGCAAATGAAAGTTTTTCTAGAACACTTTGAAGTAAGCAATTTATATTTATACTTTCATCTTCAAAACTTTTTATAATATTATTTCTAATTGTATCTCCTACAAGAATAGTTGTATTTGAATTTAATAGCTTTATTATTTGTTGAAAGTATTTATTTTCAATAGTTGTAAATAGCTGATTATCTAAGATTATCTATTTATTAAGTAACTTTTTAAAAGCTAATTATATAAATTCAGATAGTTCTTCTTTTGATCTTGGATCACTGTTTAGATAGTAGCATTCAAGATAATGCTAAAGATTTGTTGTATTAGAATCATTATTTTTGCATAACTATGTTTTTCTTTTATCTTCAGAACAGACAAGATATACTATTTCTCGATATATATATATTTTAGTTATTCTAGTAAAAGATTCCTTTCCTCAAATAGCCTTTCTGAAAAAAGCTTGCTATATCTTTTTTTAGAGAAAATTACTAGATCTTCACTATTATTAATACTAGATATAATAGAAGCAAGTGGCTATGATTTATGTTCAGTATTATATATAAAATGATCAAGCTTATATTGAACAGAATTATAATTTTTAATTAAAGACATATTATTATTGATAAAAGATACGATAGTAAATGTTTTTAGAATTTACTTAAGTAGAGTAAAAAAATAACTAATTCTCTATTTTTCTAATATGCTTTATATATTCTACATTTGACTCAAACTAATTATATCAATTATATCAATTATATGATATTTAACTATAGGGCCAGCACACTCTCTCTGTAGATCAATTTTACCAAAATTCAAGCTAAAGAATAGTCTATAGAAAACTTACTAAATAGCTTAAGAAACACAACATAGATTACGAAGATAAAAGTTTTAGAACCAGAAGTTATAGCTAAACAAGTTGCAAAAATAACTAAAGAAAAGTAAAAGAAGAAACAAAACCCAGAAAACTCTTCTCGACAAAATAATTTTCAAAATTTTAGAAAATTTTTGGGGAATAACAAAAACCCTGAAAATCTGATAATTGTTTGTTACACAAGATTCAGAACTTGAATAGACTAATTAGGAAAGTGATACATAGAAGGAAAATCATGTGTTCGATTAGAATAAACAAAATAGAACAACAAAGACATCATGTATTATATATAGATAGTAAATAGAGTAATATACGTGATAGTAAAACTGAACAACTTCTGGGATTTACAAAATAATATACTAAGAAGTTAGAAAAAACTGAAGGACAAATTGATATAAATAGACTAGATTAAAAAGATTTGTAATAGAAAATATGTGGAACCGAGAGAAGGCAACTAGATTAGTAGGAATAGTAACTGAAGAGTATAGTAAGAAGATAATAGCAGAAAGAAGTACAGCAGTAATGGATCTAGAGGACCACATAGATAAAATGATCGCAGAAATATTAGAAGTAGATAGTAGCATAGTAACAGTAGCTAGAGAAT